CTTCCTTCCTTCCTTCCTTCCTTCCTTCCTTCCTTCCTTCCTTCCTTTCTCTCTCTCTCTCTGTCTGTCTCTCTCTGTCTCTCTTTATCTCTGCCTCTCTCTATCTCTGTGTGTGTCTCTGTCTCCTCTCTCTATCTCTCTGTCTCTCTCTGTCTGTGTCTCTTTCTGTCTCTCTGTCTCTGTCTCTCTCTTTTTTTCTTTCTGTCTCTGTCTCTCTATCTCTCTCTTTGTCTCTGTCTCGTCTCTCTGTCTCTCTCTGTGTGTGTCTCTGTCATCTCTATCTCTCTTTCTGTGTTTCTGTCTCTGTCTCTCTGTCTCTTTCTGTCTGTCTCTGTCTCTCTCTTTTTTCTTTCTGTCTCTGTCTCTTTCCCTTTGTCTCTGTCTCTCTCTGTCTCTCTCTTTGTCTCTGTCTCCTCTTTCTCTGTGACTCTGTCTCTCTCAATCTCTTCCTATCTCTCTCATTTTCTGTCTCCTTCTCTCTTTCTGTCTCTCTCTCTCTCTCTCTTCTATGTCTCTCTTTCTGTCTCTCTTTCTCTCTGTCTCTTTCTCTCTTTCTGTCTCCGTCTCTCTCTCACACACAAACACACAAAACGGTCAACAACTCACAGAAAAATTGGAGTCGCAGCTGGAGAGGCCCCTGCGTGAACCGGGCGGGGGCTTGCTGTCCAGGACATTCTTCTTACTGACTTTGAGCTCCCGGTTCTTGAGGGGGACGTAGCCGTCCCGCAGGGAGACCAGCAGGGGCTCCGCGTCTTTCCCCGCCAGCCATTCATCTGCCTCCAGGGCCGGCTCTGGGCCCGGAGTGTCCGGGTAGAGGTCGTCCTGGAAGAGGTCCGACTGCCGGGAACGGGGAGACGGGTTTTGTTAAGTCTCTGGAAGTTGTACCAGACTTTGCCACCTTCGGCAACCTTAAATTGTGTGGACTTCCAGAATTCCCCAGCTAGGAAATAATCAACCCTCTTAAAGCATCCTGGCTGGGGCATTCTGGGAGTGGAAGCCCTCCCCTCTTAAAGCAGGCTGGCTGGGGGATTCTGGGAGTGGAAGTCCTCCCCTCTTAAAGCATCCTGGCTGGGGGATTCTGGGAGTGGAAGCCCTCCCCTCTTAAAGCATGCTGGGTGGGGGATTCTGGGAGTGGAAGCCCTCCCCTCTTAAAGCATCCTGGCTGGGGGATTCTGGGAGTGGAAGCCCTCCCCTCTTAAAGCCTGCT